AGAGAGAGGGGGAGAGAGAGAGGGGGGATAGGGGGAAGGAGAGAGAGAGGGGGAGGGAGGGAGAGAGAGGGGAGAGAGAGAGGGAGGGGAGAGAGATGGGCAAATCAATCACTGAAGTCAATTAGACATTAATGTTTTGGTGGACATCAAAATTGAGACACTTCCTCGAACAATCTAGGCCACGGGTAGGCAACCACAGTACTTCAGCTCTGGTGAAAGTGAAGCCCACTAGACCTTTGAGTGTCCTACAAAGCAAGAGGTCTGCATGGAGCAGAAACTCATGCCTGGCTAATGGGGAACCTCTATCAAGATATGTCCAGCAGAAATGGGCAAATCGATTTTGTCTTCACTGAAGTCAACTGGGCATGAACATTTTTGGGAAATTGTCAAATTTGAGACCCTTGCTTGAACAATCTAGGTCAGGGGTAGGCAACCGCAGTACTCCAGTTTTTGTGAAACTACAAATCCCATGTCTCTGCCTCTTGGAGTCATGTCTGTGGCTTTCAAATCCTTGCAATGACTCATGGGACTTGTAGTTTCACAATAGCTTGCGTGCCAAGGTTGCCGACCCCTGATCTACCCCAATCGTCTCACACTGAAGCCACAACCTCTTCCAAATCCAAGGTCTTTGTGTCAAGTTACGTCCCTTTCTGCTCTAAGTCTTGTGTTGTAGTCGGAGAGTTCTTTGGTGTTCCCGGGACCATAAACCCTCATTAATAATAAGATCCGGGCCTCCAGCCTGTGCAGACGTTGCAGAATCATCCTCTCCTCAGCGTGTTGCGGGTCTGGAGGTGCCAATCACAGGCCGGATCGTATTTCTGTCTCGGAGAAGAGACGCTTTTGGCTTAAACAAAACCATCTGTTTGAAGCTTACGTGGGCCGCAGGATAATGAGACTTTTGTTGAAAGGTTCGTGAGCTGGCGCTGTCTCTGGAGGCCACATAAGCCTCACTGGCTGGTGACCGGGTCTTATCAGGACAATCATTGTCTACATTCTAATATCATTTCCAGGGACATTTTGAAGCTGAGGCTCTCCTGTCCCAGCAAACCGCTCCTAATAAACTATATTGCCAAAAGTATTGGGACGCCGGCCTTTACGCGCACATAAACTTTATTGACATCCCAGTCTTAGTCCGTAGGGTTCAGTATTGGGTTGGCTCCGCCCTTTGCCACTATAACAGCTTCAACTCTTCTGGGAAGGCGTCCACAAGGTTTAGGAGTGTGTCTATGGGAATGTTGGACCATTTGTGAGGTCAGGTACTGATGTTGGAGGAGAAGGCCGGGCTCGCAGTCTCCGCTCTAATTCATCCCAAAGGTGTTCTATCGGGTTGAACTCTGTGCAGGCCAGTCAGGTTCCTCCCCCCAAACTCCTCCATCCATGTCTTTATGGACCTTGCTTTGTGCACTGGTGTGCAGTCATGATGGAACAGGAAAGGGGCCATTCCCAAACTGTTCCCACAAAGTTGGGAGCATGAAATTGTCCAAAATGTCTTGGTGTGCTGATGCCTTAAGAGTTCCCTTCACTGGAACTAAGGGGCCAAGCCCAACCCCCAAAAAACAACCCCCCCCCCTTAATCCCCCCTCCACCAAACTTTACACTTGGCACAATGCAGTCAGGCAAGTACCG